AGACCAAAACAACTGAAGCTCCATTCGTTCATAGGTCTAGTTCACCGTGGTTTAAGCTTCAAATACGAATATTTAACTGAAGAACAGATGAGAATTGTGGGTACTAAAATTATCCTGCCAAATTATATGTTTGAGAGTCGTGGTGGGAAACGTACGTTTACACATCAGCCGTCTATCCTACACATTCATAGTGTCAGTGGACGTTCAATATCACACTGTAGTTTTAATAAAGAGACAGATGAAGTACTTTTCTTACCATCTCGTACATTTGAAGTAGTCAAGAAAGGGGAGGACGAAGACAATTCATCTGACTATGTTTGGCCAAAGGGAGTAAAACATTACTGGTTGTTAGACATTGATGATGATGAAGACGAAAAAAATGGAAGAATCAATACCGAATAATAGTGGTGGTGCACAGTGAATTTTCAATAGGCACGTGAACATTGAGTTGTAAATAGCTTTAACAAACGGAGAACACTCTTTTTATAGGTTCTCGTGTATGCTCTTTCCAATGAAACGGTTTTCAGACTCAGAAACCCTTCAAATGGTTTTTTTTGAGGTCCCTAGGTTTCTAGATAGTTCTTCTAGGTTCTAGTTCTTCTACCAAATGTACTGAGAGATCATCAGTTTCTGAAGAAAATTATTATTCGTAGGTTTTCGTATATCCTGGTCTCAACTGTAGTCACAGACAATGCTTTGACAAGATTTCGACGGACTTCTGAAGATCGGGTTTTTAGAAAATCATTTTTTCTGGCAAAATACAACATAGGCTCTTTTATAGGTTATTCAACATGCTGATTTTGATGAGACTGATAAAAGATCGTCACTACTCTGCTAGGACCCACCGCCACCCCTTGGCTCTTCGGTTTTGTGTAGTACTAGCCAAGTCCCTAATCTTCTGCAGAGTTCACACCGTTCACACCTGAATTCCCAGACTAAAAATTCCCGTTTCATTTCGCGGCAAGAATATAACCTCATCTTGCCGCGATTTTGATAAGGAATTTGAAACTTAACGCGAGATTGATACCGCGATTGTACCTAATCTTGCTATATTTTCCGTGTAACGAAAATTTAACAATCTTCACGCGAAAAGTTTTTGACGGGATCGCGCTGAAATCCTGCAAAGGTTGCGGCAGGATTAAAATGGGATCCGGACAACAGCGTACCAAGATCCCGCTGTGATTAGAACCAGGGTGCAGGAGCAAGCTCTTCTGCCACTTATCTGATTGTCACTACGCCTTTCGATGGTTTAATCTCCTTTTCATCAAATTTCATCATGTTTTACTCGGTATTTTCTTCGAGAACATGAAGTAATTAGAGATTTTCTCCTAAAACACCATCTTCAGAGTACACAGCAATTTATTTTCCTTGTTTTGAGTTATAAACTCCATTTCATTTCAATGTCACAAAGTTGAACTATTATTAATTTGCAAAATTTCTGCCGGTGAGAAGTTCATTTCAGATGTATCTTTAGGTTCTTCATCGGTGTATTTTTCAGTTCTAATTCGAAACGTCACTGGCATTGGATCTCAGAACAGAAGTGAGAGGAGCTGTCTTTGTGTTTCATCTGTGAGTTGTGCCAATAAGGTAACGTTTGCCGTATGTGAAGAAAACATTCACGCTTGAACTTCCAGTGAACGTGTATCTGTAGATACTTGACACTCGGTCCAGTTTGTTGCTAGAGCCAATCTAACGTCCTCTGATTGAGGTATTCTGGCTGTGCCGCTATCCTCTGTGCGTCAAACAGGATCGAAATGATCATTGCTACATCCCGAAAGACTCGAACGGCAAAGCAATCTTACACCGAGAGAACTCACATGATAACTCACCTTTGTGTGCATTACTCTCGCTGTTGTGCATTTTCATTCTGAGATTTCTGCACAGTCAATATATTTAACATGGGAGAAGACTTTAGATGTGGTGCGTTGTCCGAGAAAGAATATTCTCTTTCGATTCTAAAACTGTCAAGAAGAAAATAGTTCAACTTTGAGAGAAAAAAATTAATTTTCCTCTTCGAATGCTCCTCTTCTCTCGAAAATTGCTGTGTACTTAGTGATGACAATAGTCAAATAGTTAGCCTATTTCCATTAACTACAACAAAACCCAAAAAAACACTGGCAGAAAACACTCGTTGTACTGCGTTAAAAGGTTAAGAAATGACTAACTGACTTGTATTGTATATCTATTATATAAGTTAAAAGAGAACAAAGAATAAACACAGTGGATGATAATATACGCACACTGTCTGTCTGTTTTTCTCCTTCTATCAACGGATGGACGAAATAAAAGAACATTACATCGTTACAGACTGAGATAGAGGAAAATACGAAGTCAGTGCGATCCTAGTTTCGTGCGAGGATTGATTTTGTACTTTGATAGTTTAAGGAACAGAATGATATAATAATAAAAAATTTTCCTCAACGGTGGACAAAGGAAAAATCTTCTCAAGATCTTGTCTCGAATTAGACACGATCTTACTATAATCCTGCCGCGATCCCGTCACTCTCTTGAAACACAAATGAAACGGGATCACATAACAAACTTGATCAAGAACACGATTACAATTATAAGATCGCGATTTTATTTTGTCAAGATCAGCATTTTTTCGTTACAAGGGAAAAAATCGTGTTCGCGATCACATTTCAGCAAGAATGAAACGGGAATACCACTAGGGATGTAACAGTCTGCGTCCATGACAGGTTTCACCATTTGGTCAAACATTCCGTCAAAAAGGCATAACGTGGACAAAACTAACATACACTTTTTGGACATTGCGTTCGACTTTCAAGTGTGTTTTTCAAATTTTCTTATATAAAGTTTTGTTTAAATTCCTTTCAACAAGGAGATAATCGAGAAGGAGATATCTAAAACCGGCTCATTTGAATCAGTTGATATTTCTGACAATTGCGTCACTTCTTGAGTCAAAGTGACAGTTTTAATGCATCTTTAAACATGCGCAATCGTTTTATCTCTTACTTGCATTTTGTTGATACTTTTACATACGAATTGTTCTATTTCGGTAAGGATTTCTTGATCTCTAATTAAAAGTGGATGACTAGGTACGAAGTTGTTCGAATGAATGTCGCGGCCTTTTTTCGCATTCTAAAACTTCATTTTCATTACCTTGACCCAAAAAATGTCCGAGATAAATTAGTATCTGGCTAAATTAGGATCTGCCTGAATATTGAACTGGCGCTAATGTTACCATAATATGGGTCGCAATTTGACCTTCATCTCGTATTGGTGTATTTAGTTCGATTTCTAAGCATTTATTAAAGTTTACTAGGGTACGTTCATAATTACCTTGATGGTGGTAGATTATTCCCAAATTATTATATGTTCGAGCTTAGTGTAATTCTTCTGACTGTAAACGTAGCAATTATTTTTTCACTGAGTTTAATTGATTGTTTTGTTTGTTTCAGTTCGTTGCAGCACTAAAACTGCTGTAGACTGGAGCAAGGGAGAAAGGATCTCCCATGATCGCTGGATCACAAAGTAAGAATTGATGGATATGCACTACTTTACTATACTCTCCCATTTCCATCAGCAGTTTTCCCAAACTCAGAGAGGCCTCGAAGTGACGGTAATCTTCTCTTTCATATTTTCACTTAGCTGCTCATCTTCTTCACCTGTAAAATTCAAATGTATACGTCACATTTGATTATTCATCTTCTCTACCGATTATTTGTTTATTTTTTTCTTTGAACGCGTGCCGTGTATCAATGTTCTGTTCTACTCAAAGCGTTATATAACATTAGGTAGAGAAAACGGTCTCATGTATACCAGCAGACGTCGTTGAGAAAGATAGTCTCTTTCAAATTCACTTATCTTCGCTAGTTCGATTTGATCATTTGAATGTTTCTGACGACAGATTTCTATCATTTGTGTTGAATGAGAAATCGTCGTTTGGCAAACACCGGACACGATCTCATTGAATTCTTATTTTTTCTAGCAGCTGATCAGTAAATAGTTTAATATCATTATAAACGCGGCAAAGTTTAGTAAGACGGCGTTATAACATACATGATTTGATAGCCCGGAAGCTAAGGATCACGAATATCACCTTTTAGCCTCTCTACTGCACTCCATCGTGAAGAAAAATTCAAAATATTGAGAGGGGCTATTTTTTCAAAGAATTCTTACTTTTTGAAAAAAATACAGTATCTTTTTCTCTGGTCACTTTGGAGCTTCAAGAAGGCGACTCTTCAGAATTCAAATGGCGTCAAATATACTTCAATGGATGAACTATTTAATGGTATAAAAGGTTTTGTTCCAAGTGCTAAATTTTTTGGCAAAATGTATCAGCAAAAATAGCCTTCATACTACCAACCTCCAGAAAAAGGGGTTTTTATTGGATTAAACATACTTAAAATTTAAAATCTATATGTATTCTGTATTTGGGCAATTTCATCTACTTAGAAATTTGAGTTTTTTTGAATTCTATTAATATTTATGACGTAACAAAGTAATATTATGTAAAAATAGCCACGTAAAGACTACATGCCCGCTCCGTGGAAAGGTGTCCACTGCGATCTGAGAGGATATCGTACTTTCGAACTAAGAAACAGTTGAAACATGGAGTTTTACTGCGCAGGAGACTTACTCTCTTTCTCTCTTCGCCAAGGTCACACTAACGGAGGTTAGCTGACAAATAGTTTGAAACTGCGTGGATAATCGCACAAAAGCTCTCTTTCTCTCTCTCTCATTTCTACGATGAATACTGTGTCTCCTAGGATAAATACGCTAACCGGAAGTGCAAGATCACATATTTAGATTGTACCAAAATCAGGTTCGGTCTTTCTTTCTTCTGGTCTGAAGATCCACACTCAGTACTTGTTTTTGTCAGAATTGAAAATCAGAAACTGATCTAACTTAGAACAGGAAGATTCAACGTTCCACATTAACACACTCGTTCCATAATAAATGGGATAAAAGAGGAAATTGAGGAACCAAGCAGCAAATGGATCGAGATATGTAATTTTCTCCATTGTTACTAGATGTTATTTTTTGTTCTGATCTTTTTTACTTCCATCGCCTTTCTCATCACCTTTATTGGTCTCTTTCTTCTCAGGTTGCTGCTTCTCGCCACCTTGTTTGTTCTGATCTTTATTTCCATCGTCTTTCTTCTCAGTTTGCTGCTTCTCACCACCTTGTTTCATCTGGTCTTTATTTTCATCGTCTTTCTTCTCAGGTTGCTTCTTCTCGCCACCTTGTTTGTTCTGATCTTTATTTCCATCGTCTTTCTTCTCAGGTTGCTTCTTCTCGCCTTCTTTATTGTCTTGCTGTTGCTTCTTCTCACCACCCTGTTTGTTCTGGTCTTTATTTTCATCGTCTTTCTTCTCAGGTTGCTTCTTCTCGTCACCTTGTTTGTTATCGGTCTGCTTCTGCTTGTCATCTTGCGTCTCAGGCATCTTTTCGCCGTGCATCGTGAGTACCTGCTCAGCTTGAGCTTTGGCTTTCTGCTGCTCTGGCTGGTTCTCATCAGATTGTTTTTTATCATTGCCGCCTTTACCATCAGCATTCTCTTTACCAGAAATTGATGTACGATAAATGTAGTAAGCTAAGCCACCAAAAACTAAAGTTGCACTACCCCATAACAAAGTCTTTGAATAATTTGTATCAATTGATGAACGAATTGGACCCCCAGTGCCAACACTCCTGAAAGTGGACGAAATAAAGGGATAGTATAAAGAACTGGTTATGCTTTGAATGAATGAATTTTGGAACAAGGTAAGCACTGCTGTTCAAAAGAGGACAAATGCGTCTGTGTAAAACACTAAAGGTTGAAAGTTCGAAAAAACCACTGATCTTGATTTATATCATCTCAACGTTGAATTTATTTTAAAAAATTGTCTAGCATGTAAAAATAACTGTAAATGTTTAGCGATTTTAACGGTTTTGGTTCGTTTTGAACTCTTAAACAGCGACTTTCTACAGTAAGAAACGACAAAAATCGCAGCCTTTAACTGTTAAAATCTGTTTTAACCAGGGTTGGAACCGGACCAGCCAGTTGACCGGTTACCCGTTGAGCTTCAATCCACCGATTAACATCGATTTTTTGCCGTTTTTTTACCAGTTTAACCATACTTCAACGGACCGGTTGCTGCCGGTTTTGAATCACAAGCGAAATGTGACTACTGTACAAAAAAACTTCGAGATGTCAACTGGAATCGCCCAAGGGAGGTTGCAAAAAGGCAGTAGATCCAAATATGATCTATTAATTCATTTTACATTTGCCCTATCACTAGCGAATTTCGGATGTAGATGAACACAGGTTAATATTTTCTCCCATTATTTTCTTTCACATTTCGAAAACATTCGTCCGAAAAAATTTCCTTCTTCATGAAAAATTAGCCCGATAAAAAGGTTTTTTTCTCCATTAAAACGTGATTAATCTATATTGTTTTCCTGCTGAGTTTCATACATCATCAGAAATTAGTCTGCGAATTTTTCTGCGTTTCGTATTGGGTTGAACTCCGTGCTCAATATCTCACGTTAATACTGAAATAACCAGAACAGGAGGAATTTGAAAATACACAAGCTGAGCTTTCTGCAAAAAATCGGTTTTCATAAAATCCGGACTTTAACCCGCTATGGAATCGACCGGCTTTACCGGTTGAACTACGCATTAAACCGGCTGGTAAACTGTCCGGTCCGGTTAGGAAAAATTCAACCGGTTCCAGCTCTGATTTTAACCGCAGTCGTCAAAGTTCGAAACTGTGTGGTAGTAAAGATTGTGAAATATATTAATCGTAGCTCACAGCGATTACACGATTGCAAAATGTGATTTTCTCTCGGTTAAAGTCGATCAGCTATCCATTCATCTTTTTGTTTTACTGGCAGCATATGAGAATGATGCAAAAACACAGGCGAAAACACGGAAAAATTAACTTTGACATTGACTCTCGCCTCAGAATTCCGCTTGACTGCCCAAAACAAAAAATGTCAACAAAACAAAAAAACGTTTCTCTCAACCACTAGCGAGCTTCAGAAACCTTTATAATTCCATTTTCTACAGTGTCGTGAACCTTCTCAGATCATTATTCTGACGTCTAGATAGCATCACGTGGAAGCTACCAAAACGCAAATGAAACGATCTGTTCGATTTGAAAAGTAAACCGTGCTAACCGTGGCTTAGTACGGCTTGGAGCGCCCTTTTTTGTGCTGAAAACCGCGGTTTAGTGCGGTTTTTCTACTAAAACACAAGCTGTTTTGAACCCAGTTTTTGGTTCGCGTTTTTAATGATTTGTTGTGTTAGGGTAACTTACGGGCTAACTGGTACCTTTACTGTTCCACTTGTGCCGGATTTGTCTATAAAGAGAAAAAAGAACTTGTTGGCTTCTAGAAATGCTTTTTGTCCTGTGTTTTACTTACCAGCTGCTGTACGTCCGTCTAATGTTGCTGCAGTTCTCTGTGACACTACTAAAGCAACTCCATTATTTGATCTCAGTACAGTTGAAGTTATCAAACGGCGACAGAGGAATACGGTTGTCATCGTTTTAAGTAAAAAAATCTTAACGTAAACAGAGAGGAAGATCAAGAGATAAGAAGCGACTATATCAAGGTCAATCAGTACAGCGTTGAGTCTTATTCTGAGAAGACATCTTAGGTTATAACATTGTATACATTCACAAAAAATCAGGCTGTATGGGAGGGAGTGTAAGGGGCCTTCTTTGCCTTGGTTCGGTTCACTGGAAAACATTTCATCACGAAACAGCATTCTAGCACTCGCGCGAGTGGATTGGGGTTTGGACAGTCAGTGTTGCTTTACCCAAAAAGATTTCCTTTATAATGTCAATGCATTTTGAACATGATTTTAAACCGAATTTGCTTTGAAAGACAGTAAACTTTTTTTAACTCAAAAATTTATTAGTAATAGTTTAGTTATGATTTTTTTCTATAATTTTACATCGTCCTTGTATGTACCAATTCTATATTAGCAAAGCTTTTGGCTATGACTATTTTTATTCAAATATATTCAGTAACTTTTACTTTGTGAGTTACAGTCTGTACTACTGAATGAGTAATGAGGCTAAAAAGCATGAGATAGAACTTTGCCCTTGATTTCTCGTATCCTACTCAGAACAATTTCCTTTTTAAAAAGTTTTGCCTAGTCTGCTGACGTTTCCTCAGTTCGTGTGTTGTGGAACCCAACCTTTAGGAACACTTTTGCCCAATGACTTTAGTAAAACTTGATGTTCCATCTTAATAGAATTCTTTTTATACGCAGTTTATGGAAAGAACAGCTGTAGGACGTATAACCCATCGCAGTAGTTTTTAAGTAAAAAAATATTAACGTACAGAGAGAGGAAGATAAAGAGATAAGAAGCGACTATATCAAGATCGATCAGGAGGGCGTGGAGTCTTATTTTGAAAAGATATATTAGGTTATAACATTGTGTATATTCACCAAAAATCAGGCTATAAATCTTTTACGAAGGACACGTTGTTCGTAACCTTCTGATGCACATGCCAAGAAAACTTTAGAATATAAAAACACGCATGAATAAATATATTTATACATCGTTATCGCATTATATTCTAATTCACTACGATAAAAAACTATAAAGAAATGTGTATGTGCATATTATATTTTTTTTTCTTTATTTACAAGTACTAAGCTCTACCGAAAGAAAGAGAAGTAAAAAAAGAGCTGTTAGTTTTTTTTTGCATACATATTTGATTGTTCGTTCTCTTTCAACATTAAAAGAAAAAAGCAAAAGAATCGATGAATATGAGACACTGAAACTGAAATTTAAAAGAGATTTCGTCAGTGCAGCAAAAGAGCCAGACACGAGCAACAAATCACATACGGCTTTTATTCTACATTCCGATTCATTCAAATGTCGCAAAGCGCGAAAAGTCGACCGAATTCTACGGAATTGCGGCAAATTCGGGTCCGAAACTATTTTCTGATACCTTAGTAGTTAGACTGTCTAGTATTGTCCGAAAGCGTGACGCTGCTAAACTTTGAAGAAATGGGGCTACCACAAGAGATCATATTTTACATATAGGCGAAGAGATAATCTATATCATTTTTCTGAGAAGAGGAATATATGATGCGAAAGTGAAAGGATGAGTCTATTGCTACGCCCTAGGACGTCAAGCGACGTTGTTGTTGACACGCCCAGAAGTGATTATAGCTCCTTGTCGACACGTTGGAGCGTGGCAATAATCATTCCGAAAATAAAAATAAAACAAGAGACCCGGCGTACCGGCAAAGAAGAATCAGGTCAGTTGATGGCTGCTATTCCCCTTGAAATATAGGCAGTCTAACGACTGATGCATCAGAAAATAGTTTCGGACCCGAATTTGCCGGAATTCCGTAGAATTCGGTCGACTTTTCGCGCTTTGCGACATTTGAATGAATCGGAATGTAGAATAAAAGCCGTATGTGATTTGTTGCCCGTGTCTGGCTCTTTTGCTGCACTGGCGAAATCTCTTTTAAATTTCAGTTTCAGTGTCTCATATTCATCGATTCTTTTGCTTTTTTCTTTTAATGTTGAAAGAGAACGAACAATCAAATATGTATGCAAAAAAAAACTAACAGCTCTTTTTTTACTTCTCTTTCTTTCGGTAGAGCTTAGTACTTGTAAATAAAGAAAAAAAAATATAATATGCACATACACATTTCTTTATAGTTTTTTATCGTAGTGAATTAGAATATAATGCGATAACGATGTATAAATATATTTATTCATGCGTGTTTTTATATTCTAAAGTTTTCTTGGCATGTGCATCAGAAGGTTACGAACAACGTGTCCTTCGTAAAAGATTTATAGCCTGATTTTTGGTGAATATACAACAAATTAAGTTTGATTTTTACAGGATTTTATAAAATTATTTCTTTTTTTCTACTCATACAATGGTGGTAGCCTTATAATTATAAGTTCTTGACTTTTGCTACTTTCCCTTCAGCCATGTGTTCTATTTTAACTTTTTTTTTTCTGGGTTTCATGTGTTTGATGAAATAAATTTCAGTTCGGTTCAGTTCAAATGAAACGAGAGTTACATGAAATAAAGTTCTTTTTGCATTTGCACGTATTGATTACATAGCCAGGATGGCAGTGACAATGAAAAAGTCCTTGGCCTACCAACTACTGGTTTATTAGCTGGAAATTGAACGAAGTGGTGCACTTGGTACGATCGTATCAATGTGTCACATGAAAATAAAAGATATTAGTCAAGTATGATTTTAGGAACCAAATCACTACATTTTACGACTTTTTTCGGCTTAAACTTCAGACATCAGTTGCGTACGTAATTTATTAATTTCCTATATCTCATGAGAAATTTCATATGCCCAAATCGTTAAACACTATCAGAGACTGCACAGATTCCCCAGAGAATATGAATATTCCATAGAGTACGTATACATTCTCTGTAACATATGCATAGAATAGAAAACAAAACAACAATAAGGTAAAACTGGCTATATTAAAACATATTTCTCGACATGTTAGTAAAAGCAGAATTCGGTATGAAACAGTGAATTAGGATTAGCTTTCCATGTCTTATCGACCAGCGTATGTTTTAGTCCTTCAAACTGTTATACAAGAACAGACAAGAACCAACTTCGGAACCTTTTTTGCGAAAAAACGTCTATTTTTATCAAGTCTGGATACTGTAAATAATCATCTTCTTATAAATTAATCTACTCACGCATATTTATAGAGAGCATGGTTCTAGGACTATCTCTGCTATTAGAACTGCAGAAGATGAATTTTTAGTTTTAGAGAAGCACGTGTTTGCAGGGAGATCTCTAGTTCTGAAAATCCACTGCCCAAAACAAAGCCAGTAATGACATTTGCTCGCGAAATAAACGTTTATAGACACGTTAAAAACACATTTTACTATGCGCTGCGTTTGCCTTAGTAGTGTTTTTTAAAACACGTTTTTTTATTCTACGCATACATTTTGAAGTCTTTTTAAACTTACATATATCATTTTGGTAGTATAAGGTAATAGAACATTAGGCAAAAATATGAGCTATCGACTTTTACTTATGGCTGGACGAAAGTGCCTGATAATTTATTATGTAGCCAGACAGCGCGGTTGAATCTTATATATAATCTAAATCGTGATGTGTTCAATTGAGCTAGTCGTTGAATTATTTCTTTCTAGTTAGACCCATATGGTACATCAGCGATGGCGACTGTTACAGAGATTTGTACACCGTCTTGAGTTAGTTGCAATTCATGCACACTAGGCAGTATAGCCCACTTAACACATTAGAAGATCAAGCAAAGAAGCTGACTTCACTTATCTGGCTACAACCTGGTTGAAATCAATTTCGAGCTGAAAGGACCGCGGTATCGGCCGATTTCTTGGTCACTTCACCATGCAGTTAGTCAACAAGAGCTTTCTGCTTACAATAAATGTTGTTTGCTTCAGAAAGGACCGTATATTATATAATCGGCCTAGAGGTAGGGAGTTAGCAGAAATATAGATTTTGATTTTCTTAAGTAAGGAGAAGATCAAATATATCTAAAAAACCACCTATATCATATTTGAATGACTCTGATGTTTGTATTTCTAAATGTTCTTCAGACAAGTGAACAAAAGTAATCTGAGTCATGAACAACAGTTCAAATTTCGACGCTACATATTCTTTTTCTATTCTAAAATATCGTCTATTAGAATTAATTAAAGTTTGTCTTTCAGGAACATACTATAGCTAAACCCACTAGCTTTGAGATTAACATGATTCTGCATTAATCGTCCAGATATACTAAACGCTCACCCTCACCCTCACCTAAACGCAGAATGCATGAATTTATATCACCGCATGGTCAGAATTAGAAGGGAATAAAGAAATAAAAACAAAATAAAAGACATAAGTTCGAAGTTCGGTAAAAAAACTTTTACCGGAGAAAAATTCGGTAAAAAGTATTTACCGAACTTTCGGTAAAAATTTTTTTACGGTTACCGCGGTAATCTAATTTTTCGGTAAATTCATCGTACCGTTACCGCGGTAAAAAGGCTTTTACCGTTACCGACGGTAAATTACCGGTTACCGCACATTATGAACTGCAACATACGATTCAGCTTTACGCTTCGTAAACGAACTGACTAGAACACACCAGTTGAAGTTCTGTTTAGATTTGGCGAAGGTTGAAAATATAATTTTGTGTTAGAAAATCATCAAGATGCTGATTGATGTTTTTCTTCAGTATATTAAAAATCTATTTTCGGATATAAAAAGTAACACAAACAGAAATTTGAAAATGAAAGATAAACAAGCTCATAATCAAGATGATTCAAAGTTGTCGGATACTGCTCCTCAAATCCTTTCCTTCACTCTTCTTTTTCTCGAAAATTGAACGAACTCGACTGATTTCGGCCGTAATGGTTGCGGTCGCATTGATGACCCCGACATGATAATCTCTTAAGATGATTGCATATTTCAGCAAGGTCATGCTCCGACACAGGAGGATGGTGATACGCAAAAATAGTGGTGGAAAAATTTTTCATTAGTTATTAAAGATCGTTAGCCAGCAAATTCTCTTGATCTTAATTCTTTGAATTATTGCATATGAAACACAAAAAACTAATTCTTATTTGTTATCGAAGAATTGAAAGAAAAGTAAATAATACTCACAGGATTATTAAAACGGGTGCACTCATTATATTGCTTTCGGATCTTTTATTCAACATATGAACTGCCGACAAGTTAACATTTTATAAAATATTTTGTAACTAATTTTAGAAGAGAACGCGACCGCAATTTTTCGCGTTTTCGAATAATCTTTTAGTCTCGTTATTTTCTCACTCTAAACTATTTTTGATCCTGTTTTTCTAGTGGCGACGGATAGTCACCACAGTCAGGTTTTTTTCACCGAAACATCTTATTTCGATCTTTTTATCACCTGTATTCTCAACAGTATGTGCGTCCAAAGTCACATTTTTTTAAACTCTTAAGTTCAAATACACAGTATAGCATCAATAACACCTCTTTATCGTCTTGTGTTCGAATATTGGTTCGATATTATGAATTGGCTTTGAAATAACTTTTGAGCTATTTGGCTGATTATCTTTTCAGAATGGAAGTTTTTATTTCATATTCAGTAGCTAGGAATGAAATTAAAATTAGTTAAACGTATATATTTGACACGACTTTTTGCTAGCTGCAATGCGGCGCTTCCTACTTTTTGTACTATAATATCTCACTAATTCGGCCAACGTTTTTACTTTATGTAAATTATAGGCAAAAACGTAATCGCTGTTTGTGCCATATTGTGCTTTATTCGGATATGAATAATGGTGGTTATGAATAATGCGCAACAAAACTGCTTTGACTAGTATTTGAAAAAAAATACACAGGCTCGCACAATAAAGCCCTAAAGTTTTTTCTCGAATATTCTGTTATTCGGCAAGTTTCTTAGTAATAATACCATAATTCCAATGCAATTTTTATGCTAGTATTTGAACAGTACACTATATCATAGAACCTGAGCATTTTTATCTCTTACGTTACTACTCATTCAGCTTCATACATTCACGTCTTAGAAAAATCTTCAACTAATCATTTTGTAGAGACGCGATGTTTTTAAAAAGAAATAAATCATCATAGTGATTGTGGAAGGAGCATAAATTGTAATAAAAGTGCTCAATTTATTTATTGCACCCGTTAATATATGATTTTGTTTCGTTGTTCCCAGTAAGTTACAGGAATATCATCAAGTATATTCATTTCATTCAACTGTAACGTAACAAAGTTAAAGAACTCTTTGTTTAGCCAAGAATTATTTATTTTTCTTTTATTTTAAGCAATTTCATAAATTTGGAATTGATATTTACAACCATTTTCTTCCTTAATTTGACCATCTTCAGTTGACAAGATTTCGTTCGAATTTCGTTTAACAGGCTTGAAACCAGATAAATCTAATGTTGTCCAATATGTATCACAATTGAAAGTAGCAAAAATTCGTGTCAAATATATACGTTTAACTAATTTTAATTTTACTGCTTGATCATATACCTGTACACCACCGAGAACGTAAACATTTTCTATATTTTGATCTGCATTGTGGAACATATCATAGGAATATTGTGCTGCCCGTTCGAATGTGGGAACAACAGTAACACTAGTTTCACTCGATTGCTGTTTTATTGCTTCGGAGTTTGACGAGATAACAATTGTATGCCAATGTTTCAAGGGAGACCTATCCTGTTTTAAAAGTGATTCATATGATAAACGCCCAAATATAACAGCATTACGCTTCTTTGGATCAATTGTGTTTGTACTGATTGTTAAAAACCAATTCCAGTCACCTGGTAAACACCATGGTAGAATATTGTTTAGCCCAATACCGTTATTTTCGTCCATTGCAACCATTATTGTCATAAAAGGTTCCATTTTTTCACAAGTGTAATTGTTCTAAATACATATCACAATTTAATTGTTTTTTAACTAGTCTTAGTTAAAATGACATTACATCTTAAAGTGCTCAAGAATTGTTCTGATTGTTGCATTTTGTTCATAAGTACTTATTGATAAAGCTGCAAAACGGTAGCGGAATTTAATACCTAGTATTTTTAATCTAGATGACTTTACAGAACTTCTAAATCCCAAAAAAGATTTCAGATGGTAACGCAATTAGATGTTCAACAAGGTGAAATGAGTCGTCAATGACTGAGCCGCTAAGAGATTATTCCAACTATGCGGCGACGACAGAAAAACGACGGCCATTTTGTAAATTTCGAAAATACAGTTTTCATTTTCAAGAAAACGATAGATAAATCGACTATACTCTAACGGTAGAGTCAAAAATATAAATTCTACCAATATATACATGTGTTTATATATAAAATTCTAGAGAGTGGAAGAAATGAAAGAAGAGACGATGCCTAGATATGTGTCAAATAGACAATAATGCGTATCGTCTTCTGATTAAAGAATCTCTCGTCATCTTGAGTCATCAACCTAAACTTAACAACACGGTGAGTTCAGTACCACTTTTCATCTTTTCAAATGGCATCTCAAAAAATCTAGTCCCAGATCCAGGAGGCTGAATAGTATTTATATAAGAGAGATAAATTATATTTTCTCTCCAGTGCTATTTTTCTCTGTTTTTATCCATCTTAACTGTTGAATAGCTACATACTCGTCTCCTTCAATGTGATCAATATCTTCAAGATCAATATATTCAATGTAGAATTTATATGTTTGACTCTAACGTTACAGTATAGTCGATTTATCTATTGTTTCTTGAAAATGAAAACTATATTTCCGAAACTTTAACTGTCTTAAGTGACTACTATCCATTTCAAAATAGAACGGACTCGATTGCTTTTTGAATAACTCAGGAACGTTACTAGCTAGCCAGTTCGGGTCTTCGCCGTCGAATTGGAGACATCTGGGAATATCCAGGCATGTAGTAATCATCGGGCATGCCAGACCTTTGAGGGATTTCCAGAAGGTCTCTGGAAAACCACCCTCGCGCGAGTTAGAAATTTTGATTCTTCTGAGTGGGTATGGTGTGCCATACTGTTCTCTACAAAACTACACAAGGTTGAGCTCGCTAGCTTGTTCCGTTCAGGAGCGATAAGCATTTTGCCGAGAGCCCGATTTCGGACAGTTGATCTTAGATCGCCCTAAAATAAATCAAGATAGGGGTACGGCAATGCTGAGTCATGTGGTGATGTTTGTTTTTGATTTTCAACCGATCTAAAGTCACTGTATCAGAATTTTCAAACTATCCGCTCTATACGCAACATAGCGGCAGAATGCTGGAATTATAAAATCTTGATACTCTCGGCATAATGCTTATACTCCTTGAGTGGAACAAGCTAGCGAGGTCAGCCTTGCGTAGTTTTGTAGAGGATAGTATGGCACATCATACTCACTCAGAAGAATCAAAATTTCCAACTCATGTGAGGGTGGTTTTTCAGAGGCCTTCTGGAAATCCCTCAAAGATCTTGGCAAGCCCGATGATTACTACATGTCTGGATGCCCCCAGATGTCTTCAATTCGACGCCGAAGATCCGAACTCGCTAGCTACTAACGTTCCTGAGTTATTCAAAAAGCAACGAAGTCCATTCTTTTTTGAAATGGATAATAGTCAGATAGAAAAAGAGACTTTTTTCTTGTTGCACAAGATTAGTGACGTCTATATTTGTAATTGTCTGCAGATGCAAACTTCCTTTCTGGGAAAAAAACCTGTATAAAGAAAGTTCGTATTTTTTTCCTCTAATTCCTGATGTCTAGCTGACGTTTTCTTTTTCACATCTGAAACGTACACGCTTTGCGAAAAAAAATAGAGCCTACGCATACGCTTTGATTGGAAAAACAGAACGTGCTCGTATCCTCAACCGATAAATCCTGTTGGTACTTCTACAGATAGAGCACACCCTTAGTGACAGCGTTTCTAATGAGATTTGTGATCAAAATAGAATGAAGCACTTTGCTCTGAATCCTACAGTGGCACTGATCACTTTGCAATTTAGCGCAAAGTAGTCTCAAATAAACTGCAGCAAGCAGCGTTTGTAAAACTGTGTTCAGCTGGCGTTCTAAAACGTGAACCTATCTCAGCTTTCTTCTGTCTTTTCTAGTTGAAACTTATTGTTGTTTTCATCCATATTTACGCTATTTAAAAAAACGTTTTCCCCCTAGCTGAATTTCATTTCAGGTTTTCCTTTTCTATCATCTATTAGAACTACGGAGGTATGCACGATTCTACATCGTAGAGCACGTTGCTATACAGTGGCGGCAAAAATTATCTTTTACACTGTAAATGCACCGACAAAATATGAAAGCTACATCAAAAATTGAGTACGATGAAAGTGTGGAACTTACGTGAAAGAATTTGACCCCTCTTTTAATATTTTGGATCTTAGGACTATTTTTGAAATATCTTTTCTGCACAGGAGGGTAAACATTTTCTGGATATCTTTGCATTATCATGCATAGTCAAGTAGTTTATTTGGTTACTGTATAGGGGCATGAAAAGAGAAATTTAGACTTTTTAAGTTCAGCGAGAAAAACGGGTTTCCGACCATTAAAACCGGCTTTTCACCCATAAAACAAATTTTTCATCAAAAATCAACGTCATATTCGTCACCTGAAGTTTAGCAAAGGTTTTCCTTTCATCTAAAACTAACGCGTGGGGGCGTTTCATCCACTAAACACCTGATCGAGAAACAAAGGCGTTTTTGCTAAGCCAAACTTTTGCTAAACTTCGAGTGATACATCACCAAACGCGAGTTTTGACCTTGGGGACAAATATGACGTTAGGTTTTGGTGGAAAATGTGTGTTATGGGTGAAAAGTTGGTTTTAATGTTCAGAAACCCGTTTTTCTCCCTAAATTTAAAAGGTTCGGAAAGAAACAACAAAGGGCAGCAATGAATATTTCTAACTTTTTTTATCTGCAAAACTACTGGAGAGAGCGGAAAATATTTTGATGAAATCGCGTGTCAAAAGCTTTTTTCGTTACCGAGTTATGCATTAAAAGGAAAAGAGGATTGAGGTATATAAATAATTTTTGCCGCCACTGTATCTCGCTGTTCGAAGAACGAAAATCTCACGTCTTGTTTAGATTCGTAACCTTCAGCCAATGAATTGTTTTCCTTTAAAAGCGAAAAGTGCTTGAATAAGCACGTTTATTTCGGTCCTTATACTAATCAGCATGAAAAAGTAAGGTGCCGGCAATGCGAAATTCAAGTAAAAATTTCTTTTGCCGTTTTTCTTACATCATTTGATAGAGTGAGAGTTGCTGATCACGAAAAACAACTTTCTACCTTACACAAATATCTTTTTCAGGTCGGAAAATACGAAAAAATCGAAGTATGTCGTATTTTTCAAAAAATACATTTTTTTCAAAATACGCCTTATATTTCG